CATGAACAGATATTTATGCCTTAATGAAAGAAAGTGCAGGATAGAGAGGCTAAGTCTTGAACATGGTTCCCAGGTTATCAGGTTCACCACCAAATCTCTCCTCACAATTCATGTAACTATTATTTCATCCCCTCCACTCTGCCTTCCCAGCACTGAGTATTTTCTGGTGACAGCTAAATGGCGTTATTACTGTAACCAGTTTTATTTGTCAGTAGGACTTCTTTGGACAGTAAATGGGGAGTTTCTGACAGAACTCAGGGCAAATGTGCACATGTACCTGGCATTTACCAAGGGTTGCTGGATGCAGCATGTCCTCTCTCTCTCTTTTTTCTTTTAAAGATTATTTATTTATTTGAGAGAGAGAGCATGCACAAGCACACGGAGCAGCAGAGGGAGAGAAGCAGGCTCCCTGGCATTTACATGTACCTGGCATTTACCAAGGGTTGCTGGATGCAGCATGTTCTCTCTCTCTCTCTTTTTTCTTTTAAAGATTATTTATTTATTTGAGAGAGAGAGCATGCACAAGCACACGGAGCGGCAGAGGGAGAGAAGCAGGCTCCCCGCTGAGAAGGGAGCCCGATGCGGGGCTCCATCCCAGGACCCTGGGATCATGACCTGGGCCGAAGGCAGACGCTTAATGACTGAGCCACCCAGGAGCCCCCATGTTCTCTTCTTTACCTTGTGATCTTGGGTATGTTACTCTTCTCCTTTATTTTCCTCAGTGTGCCACCATATAATCAATCTCACAGAGCCTTTGAGCAGACATGAGGAGTCTGAGTGAGCAGACCAGGCAAAGAATGTAACAGAAGTTAGAAAACTACAGAGATGCCAGTTGGGGAGAAAAATTGTATTCAATCATTTCAAAAGTGTTCTCTGGCCCTGATCTTACCTAAGGTCAGAGTCTCCTGCTCTCTTTGGTCATGGCTTCCGGGCCACAGCATGCTGCTTTGTTAGTAATCACAGAATCCTGGAAAAGAAGGCTCTTTGCAGAAGCTGGGAAATAAAATGTCCTGCTCTTCCCGTCTCATCTTGTGTTTCTCCTTGGAACACCAGCCCATTTCTGCCAGTTAATGTCTTTTTCTCCCATGGGGGAAATTTCACTCACCATTTCAGCTGTCTCTGCTGGACACTCAAGCTTTGGCTGGTCAACACAGCCATGATTGCTGTTATCAAAAACTCAGGCTCTGTACGTCCGCCCTCAGAGAACAAAGTTTCTGTATTTCTGCAGATTCAATCTTCAAGTTCAAGCCAAAGCCAACTCTCCCAAATCAGTGTGCCAAGAGGGCTGCCTTCAAGAACCTCTTGCTTGCCCAGAGCTTCTGAGACAATGCTCTTTCATTATCTCTGGCCTTGGTCAGATTCTCTAAACTTCTTTTGGCTTCTGACCTTGATTATTCTTTTTTCTTTTCTTAGTCATTTTTTTTTCACACTTCCTTGGCTATTCTACCCTCAGGGGTCAATTATTTCTACTTTGTTTTCTGTCAACAATTTTTAGGCATTAAAAAATCAATATTTACTTAAATGTACATAAAACATCTCTTGTCTATAGTAAGAGGAGACACAAAAACAATTAAATATTATGATATAATGGAGATTTACCACACCACGGACTGGAAATCAGAGATGGATTTCCATCATTTTGGCTCTATCACTTCTGATTATGTCATGTTGAGCAACTCAAATTTATATAGTATCTTAACTCCCGCTTTGTAATAGGACCTCTAATGCCCATCCTGGCAAAATGTTAATGTTTTAAAGACCTATAATGCAAAGTGAATTTGGTCAAGCCAACCATATGCTCTTCAGTTAAAACAACACTTCTGCTGAATCAAAAGAAAAAAAAGTGACTATTTTTGACAAAGGCACATTTTCTCTCTCATTCTGGGCACTTGCATATGATCCAAAATATGCCTACCTCTGGACTTGCATATGAGCCAAATTTTCATGTGAGTCAAAATATGCCTACCTCTGGACTTAACTGTATAGGTTACCTATTGCTGCAACAATGCTGTATAACAGTTACACAATTTCAGCAGCATACAATAATATTTAATTCATGCACCTCTGAGGTAGGCTAGAGTTGGTTGGTCTAGACTGGGCTTGGCTTGGGTGGTTCTGCTTTGCTCTATGGGTCTCTCATCTTCTTGGAGCTGGCAGGCTAGCCTGAAAATGTTCTTCTCATGGTAATGGCAGAGAACCAGAATGAGTCCAATCATACAAGCACCTTTCAAGCCTTGGCTTAGTCATGCCCATGATATTCCATTGTCCAAAACAAATCACATGGCCAAGCCCAAAGTCAAGGGGTGCTCATGGTGAAGGCGGATAAGGAAGAGGATGTTTCTGAACAATAACGTCATCTAACACACTGTGCTTTGGAAATAAGTGATGAAAATGCTTACACATGGCTTCTTCTCAGTAAAAATGAAGGCAGTGATGAAGACATCCAGAAACCTCAGGGATTAGAGTGCAGTGTTGCTATTTCTTAGGTGGGACAGAACTACATCCACCTCTGGGGAGAGGAGTTGCTGGTTTAAGACAGGTTCTATGGACTTACACACAATTTTGAGGTGCAGGAGAAATGGTCATTTTAGTCAAATGAGGGAGATCAAAATCACAGCACTGCCTGCAAAGCAGATTTGTGAAAAATTCCCTCTGAACCACTGCATGAATATCCCTCCATGGGTAAGCAGCTGTTCCCTGTATTCACATTAGAGATGAATTTGCAAATGCTGACCAGAACTTATTTTTAAGACAAAATTGGGTCATTTCAAAGAGGAGCTGATATAAAAACACCATGATGTCAAAGGATAGACTGAAAAATGACATGAACTTGTGTTATACTGTAAAACTGTCCATCCCTTTACTGAAACCATCTCAACATCCTCCAACTCTGCTACTTTACCCTAATACCTCTACTTATATTCATGTCTCCTAATGAAGCAGTAAAATAAAGCCACAATGACCTGAACACAAATTACTGATGATTAAGTTGTATTAAATAAAAATAACTACATATGAAGCAACAGTCATATATATATTATTAGTCTTATTTATTTCTTGAGAATTAATGAGGAATCGAGGGTAATTAAGGCAGACAAACATTAGTTTATTTTTCGATTCATTGGGCTGTATTAGTTATCTATTACTGTGTAACATATTATACCTAAAGTCAGTGGTGTTAAATAATAAGTATTTGTTATTTGTTGACAGGTGGCCCTCCACATAGGGCTGCTTGAGTGTCCTCACATCATGGCAAATAGATTCTTCCAGAGAGAGTGATCCAAGAGAGATCAAGGCAGAAGCTACCATGTATCTTGTGACCTAGGCTTGGAAGTCACAGTCTGGTGACTTCTGCATATCTTACTGGTTACACTGGGCCTGCAACTGGTCCTCACAAGACTGTACAAGTGCATGTCCCTGGATTGGAATATCTCCTTAAATTTTATACCCTAGGTGTCTTCCTTGCCTTACCCTAGTCCTGGCCAGCTATATATGTCAGTTGCATTCACTATCAGAGGGGACTATATAAAAGGCAAGAATCATGATGGACACATTAGAGGCTGGTCACCACAAGAAATAAGTACCTAACCGAGATTCTGATTGATGAGAAGAGACCTCCACTGGTTTCAGCAGTTCTCAACTTTGGCTGAACTCTCGAATCACCTGGAAGTGCTGATGCCTGGGCCTCACTCCACAGGGATTCTGATTTCATTGTTCTGGAGTGGGACAGTCCTGATGTTCAAAAAAACTCAAAAAACTCTCCAACTTATTCACACATGTGGTCAGGGATAAGTACACTGCAAATGAATAAATGTTCCTTTTGAGACTAAAGTCGGTACAGCATTTGCCTGTCGTATCTGACAGCAACATCTGTTGCTCCTTCCTCGGGCAGGGGTGTTTGGGTGGTTTAGAGGAACAGGAGCATCAGTAATTTATTCATTTAGGAATTCTCGTTGAATACAGAACAGGTTTGGCTAGCTAGGTTTTGTCTCCATTACCTATACATTCTGTTTGAACTATTTTTGTAAAAGATTGGTAGGAGCAGGATTAATTCACCAATGCTAGAATGATTTGAGCCTGTATTTATTTCAAGACATAAAAACATGCAGATTGGATGAACAGGAGAGTGCCCAGATGAAAAAGAGAATGATAGGAATTACAGGAGTTGGATTGGGGCTAGGTTGCCTGTTTATTCATGTAACAGTTTGGTAATAGTTTGAGGTACCCATGCACACACACACACCCTCACACACACACAGAGGGAAAGCTGAGGATGAGACCACTCTTAGTTCATATCATTTAGAGGCCAGTGAAATGTTACCTATGTCTACTAGGCTACTTGGTTGTTGGCTAGTTTTCCCTTTGACCCCTCCTCATTCCATGGCGCAGGAGGCCGGGCAGAACATGGTGGGAGGAAGGGGGGCTGGGACTGGTGTCTTGTGCAAAGTATTAGGATTTTCTCTAGTGAAAAGAAGCAAAATATTTTCAGTACAAAGACTACTTGCACTTATTTGGAACTCTTGCTAGAACTTTCACATTTTCTTCTTTTTGTAATTTTCCTAGGGAATGCAACAAACCTCAGAGATGATCATACTTTTGGCAAATAGTTTAGAATGTTGGCAGATGCCCAAATAGAAGAGGATCTGGCATGGACACATGCTTGAAACCACTGTCATCACCTCAGTCAGAGAACTAAAATGAAAAATAAAAACACTGCAAGTACTTTTTAATAACAGCAGCCTAATTTGCACTTTTTACATAAGCAAGAACATTCCTACATTTCGCATTGGGTATGAGCATGACTTCACCTCTAATTCTTGCTCAATTTCAGGCATGTGCAGATGAAAGAGGCTGAGTTGCTGGGAAAACAGGTCATTCACTTCTGACATCCACTGCAGCTGCCGTACAGGCTTGGCTAGAGGGCAATTATATTAATAAAGCACAATATCCACCTTCTCACAGGATTCTAGCAGAATTCTATATGGCAAAGTCTCAAGGGGCTAGAGTGTCTCCATCTCATGACAAGGCAGATCACTTCCAATGGACTCTTGAATGCAAGTGTACTTGATGGGAGGTGGAGGTGGCTTGAAAGGCGGGGGTCTTTCCATGCTAGGAACAAAGGGAGGATTTTCAATGCTAAGAATGTGAGGCAGTGACTCAAGGAAACAGAGAAAGAGACATGCCCACCAGTGCCCTCAGAATTTTTCTGTCTGCTTATTAGCTGTGTTATGATAATATCATTAATTAATATTTATATGATATTTTATAGTTTGCAAAGCATTTTTATCATAACATTATTTAATTTGTATCTAGGGATTGGACATTATTGTCACCATTCTACAGATAATACTGAGGCTCAGAGGTCTTCAGCAACTTGCCAAAGAGAACCAGACCAGCAATTCTGGTCTTTTAACCAGAACCCATATTCTCCATGGAAACTACCTCCTAATAGAAGTGTTCCTCTTCTGTGGGTTAAAACACTCCTCCAGAGACAGAATTTTTAAATTCTGGGACTAAAGACTGAAAGTTTTCAAATAATCCCTTTGCCAACTTTACCCCCAGCCTTCACCCACACATTTACTGTATACTGTGAGGATAGGGTTGAGGTGGGAAGAAAAGCTCTTCTAGATCCTTGAATTGGTTGATACTGGATGGTTAATGCAGGAATCCCTTACATTTGAATCAGCGAACATTCTTAAAATCATCTTTATCTAAAGTACTGTTCTACGTTAGCACAACTCATCTCTTTGTCTGAAATGCATCAGGCATACGTGTGAGTTTGGGATTTAGCTGTACAAATATTCCAGCTCTCTTGATATCAAGACACCAGAAATTCATCTGTGAGCAGATTTCTGTCCTTGACTCAAACATCTCCACCCCTTGTTGGTTAATCCATAGCACCTTAATTTCTCCAGAGAGGTAGAGATGGACATGGACATGGAGAAGGACACACACACACACACACACAGAAGAGAGAGAGAGAGAGAGATTCTCATCTCTATATAACACAAACACTTGAATACAGAATAAAAAAAAATCAATTCAAAATTTCAGATTCCCATTTTCTTATTTTAATAAAAATATCTAATGCCTATTACCTGTTTTTTTCTGATGCTTCGATGCAGACAATATATTTCAACAGGTAGATAAAATTCTAAGAAATTTGCACTTCTGTTTTTTCAGGGAAATTATGAAGTCCTCCAGGTGATATGGTAGCCAAAGTGTAGTCCTTGGACGAGAGTCCAGAATTTCAGACTACTGCTTTAGCGTGTTTTGTTTTTTTTTTAAGATTTTATTTATTTGACAGAGAGAGCACAAGCAGAGGGAGAGAGAGGGAGAAGCAGGCTCCCTGCTGAGCAAGGAGCCCGATGTGGGACTCGATTCCAGGACCCTGGGAACATGACCCAGGCTGAAGGCAGTAGCTTAACTGACTGAGCCCCCCAGGCGTCCCTAGCGTTTTGTTTTTCACCATGAACACTCGCTGCACAGCGGTTATAGAGTCTTCGAGGACACTCTAAGTCGAAGGTACTGCACAGTGGTCACTGGCATCTTAGAGAGTAGCAGCAGGAGTGGAAGAGTAGCTCTGTATGCTGTAGGGGTCTCCTCCAGTTATGGTCTACTCTGGATCCAAAATAGCCAAGTCAGAAAAGCGAGGCTTAATCTGACAAGTCATTTCAGATTGCGGAGTGGAGGGAAAAGAATTTTGGAAAATATTTCAATAAGACAAAGGAGGGGTAACCCACTGTTGACTTTCTTTTGTCCTTGGGGAAAAAGGAAAAGTCTGGTAAAAGCCCATTCTGCTGAAAAGCAGCTAGAGTTTCTTAAAATTACCTTTCTCATTCCATTTCACACTTGAGCATCTGGGCCCAGGTGGGCCCAGGCAGTTCAGAGATGTATGAACATGAAACAGTAAGGAAGATTAAAAGAAAAATCAGTTTTAGTGTTTGAGGTGAAGCAAGGCTCAGTTCTCATTTCATGCCCACTGACTTGTTCCATCTGATGAGCGTCAGAGACTGAACAGGCAGAGGGGGACACTGAGTCAGAGGTTGTGCAACTCATCCCAGCTGGGTGGTGCTGGGCAAGCTGTGGAGCTTCTCTGAGCTTCTCTGAGCGCCCTTTCCTCAGTTCTATGTGAGAACTCCATATAGGAGTGATATTTAAAGTGCTGAGTGAATGTGTTGTACTGAAAAAGTGTCTCTGTTCCTGCAGATTCAGGATTATACTCACATTTCCTTCTGATATTGACACCATATTCTCACTCCAACACCAAACAATGCTATGCAGAAAGAGAGCAAAGCTGCTACAATCACCGGCCAGGACATTCCATCTTTAGGTTTATTGGCCACAATACCTGCAAAGGGCATAAAGAGAGATGAACTTTAATTCCAAACTTTGGCAATTCGAAAGCAGGATGAATTGAACTATCTCTCTTACCTGTTTTCTCCAAGGGCCATCACTGACCACAGTCATGCTCTGGGATCATATCTATGCCTTGTTCTCACTTCTGTTTTTGCATGTCTGCAGTTACTTTTTATGTGAATGTCTTTCTTGTTAGAATGTTCCAGAATGAATCTTTTTTTTTTCTTTCATTTTCCCAAGGTCCTGGACAATCCCTGGCACATGATGGCCAATGAAATGTCATTTGTAAGAATGAATAAATAAAAGGAGTAAGCTCTAAATCTGTATTCCAAATTTACTCCAGTAAAGGAAACTTTATATGTGAAATAATGGCCTAGCTTTGATCCTCTTATTTTTTAAGGAGCCATTAAATGCTTTATGGAATGTTAGTGTATTAGGAGGAGGAAGAAAGAGTAAAAAGCATTATAACACTATAACATTCCAGTGCCCTGAAAATTCCAAACTGAAAAGTCCTGGCTACTACGTATTGAGTTGTAGTGCTCAAAAGATCATCATCCAAGACTTTTCATTTGGATGTCATTCAAGGAATGATATCCAGAATAGAGATTTTTCTAATCCTTTCTACCACCTCCCCCTTTTTTCTTTCTTTCCCCTTTTACACATTTCAGCAATAGAAAGGAGAGAAGTGACAAAAGGGGTAAAACTGAAACCAGTTATTTTGCTCTTTCTATGGTGTGCAAAGGGAGGAAGTCAAAAGTAAAGGGCTATGAGAAATTATATTGGTGGGTGATAAACGGACTGATTTTTCTCACCCCTTCTGATTATATCCACACGCAATTCATTCATTGCATTTCTAGCATTTGTACACCAAGTCAAACTGTGTGAATCAAAGACTTTCAATTATTGTTGATTTTAGACCAGAGGCCATGTAAATATCATATTCTGGACTGTTTTACCTTTTTTCTAACATGAGGAAGAATTAAGAAAATTAACTCTCTTAGGAAATAAGGTTGTCAAATTCTACTGCAGGGAATAAAAGGGAATGTTTATAATTACATAGTTACTTAATATTTTCCTTTTTAAAAGGACTGACTTCAGATGCCAGCTATCCATATTAGAGGCAATAACTTTTAATAGTTAATTATGTATCTCACTGGAATTTTCTATGTATATATAAACATATATATGTATCATGAATATATATCTCTTTTTCTTAGAAATGGGGGCAATACATATTGTTCTGTCCCTTGTGTCTTTCTTTTTTAAAAAATGCTCTTGGAATACTTTCCACGAAAGTGCATAGAGATTTACCTTCTTTGATTAAATGAGTGGCTAGTTCCCCAATGCATAGATGTATCATGGTTTATTTAATTGGTCTCTTAATGTTCGAGGGTTAAATTGTTTCAGGCTTTTGTTATTTCTAACAACACCCCAGTGAAATTCCTTATACATTATGGATAGATCTTTAGCTCTTCAGATTATGTAGATCATTTGGGCAAAAAGTCCATTTTGTATCAGAATTATCTGGATTGATTTTCTTTTATTGTTTCAACTAGATTGTGAACTGTTTGTAGGTGGAGACTAGGTTTTTATTTTCTTTTATTGCCTCATATTTATTATAGTCCTTTTTATAAAGCAAAGTCTCAAAATCCATAGGCCAAAAAAAGTGGATTCAAAATATTAGTTACCAAATCTTTTCTATGTTTAACATAGGTTGGACCACAGCAATATGATGTTGTTATGTTTATAACACATATCCAGACACTTGGGGTCTTTCTGATGCTCACCCAACATCAGCCTAGTCTAAGCAGATGCTGAGTACTCTGGAAGTCCACGTAGTCCTATAATACATACCCATATGCTATGTTGTATGTGCAGGTGACTAGTTCACACTAGTTCACGGTAGTAGTGGAACTGTGAAAGACTAGAGTATCATGATCATAAAAGAAACAATCATACAGATGGTCAACCCAAGCCTACACAAAGTTTTGTTTTAGTCAAGTCAAAATTTACTAGGCTCTACACTGGTAACATGGTGTGATATAACATTTTACCCCTAAAGTTTCAGAGAAATAAAAGAACAAAGGTTTTAAATGGGTTTCACATCAATGCTTAAAATTTTTCTCCCTACCACATACAGAAAATGAGACCATTGACTTCAGGAATATCCTAGTGGAGAAGCAGAGCTCCAATCTTGTCCCTTCTTTGAACTAGGCAGTTTTTTAAGGCACCAATATCTGAAAGGCATTGGTAGAACTTCAGTTTGTTCTATTGGCATGTTGTATGCAGGATGATGCTCCAAAGATCTGAGGACTAGATGACCTTTGATATAGAATAAGCTGAGTATTCAAGTGGAGTGTTCACCAGTCAAGAGAACACCCCCTGAAGTGAAAGAGTTGATTATGTCTCTGAACTTACAATCAAGACCTGGGTTGGGAGGGTCTTAACCTCTTATGATATAAAACAAGAAATTATATTCAGTACTGACAAAATTTTATTAGTTTAATTATGGAAATACTCTTTGTTCCAACAATCTTTCTTGTCTCAGATATATTTTCATAGGATAGAATGTTTCTCACTGCTTTTCACCTGGCTGATTTTTATTCATTTTTCAGATTTTAACTTAAGTAGATCCTTAGAGGCTCCTTTCCTGTTGCCAGTTAAAATTAGATCTTTCTGTTACATTCTGACAATATCTTATACTATATCATAGTATCTATCACAAATTTAATTATATGATTACTTACTTATGTATATTATCTTCAATAGATTATAATCTTCAGAAGGCCTGTGTTTTCAAGGTCTCTTCTGTATACAAGGCAAGAAAGATCTACTTCTTTCACAGTGTATACCCAACAACTGGTACAGTGTTTGGCAAATTGTAGGTACTCAACAAATATTCGTTGAGTGAATAAAACACAAAATTTAGAAAAAAGTAAATGACTCACCAGTGATATGAATGTGAATATTTTTTGTCGATCCATTGGCATGTGTGGGAACCTCTGAAAATGTTCTGGTTGTGCTGGTGAAGACATCACCTAGGGATATACAGGGGATATCTGAACTGATCCTAATAGCCATCTCAAACCAATGAAGTGGTGTAAAATCATGATTGGATTTCACTTGCTATTAGGAAGAGCTCAATCTTAATGGCCTAAATGCTCCTACAGTACTATGCATACAGTTTACTAAGGACCAATTTACAGCAAGGCTTGGACCTTAGAATCTAATAACTACCAAAGAAGGGAAACTCTCTATTGGTTTAAAGAAGAAAAGAGAAGTTGTACAGCACACATAACAAAACAGTATCTGCTAAAGAATCCCCATGAGAAATTTAAGTGGTTATGGGAAAATGTCTTATGTTGGCGCCATAGAAAAATGGGCCCTTTCTTATTCTCCCAGGGTATCTATCAGAGATCCAGCCAATCAAATGCCAATTCTCCCACTATAATGTGTTTGATAAGGTCAATAAAACTTCCTTTGCAACATTTTAGTAGACAAATCCGTGTTGACAAATCATCTCAATTTCTAGTGAAAATGCAATTTTAATGTATTTAATTAGCCAAGAAATGCTATTTTGTAGATTTCATTTTGAAATAGAAGGAAAAAAATCGAGGACTTGGTCTCTGACTATCTTCTTTGAGTCACTGTGGCTGGGAAAAATTTTGGTTTTATTCACTGTCATTTTCATCATCAAGGTGCACTTCTCAATACCTATCTGAGATCGGTTTCTTACCAGTTCTTGTTTTTCCACCTTTGCCCAAGTAAAGCAGACCACTATCTTCCCTGACCTTAAATCTCCCCCAAGTACTCACCATGAATTGTTGAGCTTGCACCTGAGGGGGATGAACTATATGGTTCCCTGGGCATCCATGAAGCTGCTAAAGAAGATATTAGAAGAGTCAACCTGTATAAGACTAGTTATTTTATTGTCTCTTCTTGACTTTTAATTGAATCTAATAATTTATAGTAAAATAATAAAATGAAAAAAAGGTTATTAATGAATATGTAAAGCAAAATCCCTGAACTATTCTGCTGCACACATTAGAATGTCCCAAAATAAAGTGGGAGTTGAGGGAAAACTTGTGATCCTGATGTCTCCAGTAGGGGAGGTTTTGATTATAGCCACTTGGAAGCAGGAAGAAGAAATGGAAGCAAAACACTAGGAGAGGTTTCTCTAGCCACAGAGAGTGTGTTGTGACTATTCTCCTGTCCATCCAATACATGGGAGAGAATGAAAGCCCAGGTGTGTTATGGTGGCCTTTAGTCAAGCAAAGGTGCCAAAAGGACTCTGAAGACCTTGGTAGAACATGCATGAGAGAACAAAACAGTTTGTACTTGTGGATAAGCTGATATTTTTGTTTGGCTATGACAACTGAACTGTGTCAACAGTGAATTTTCAGACCCCTCTAGTCATAGGCCTTGCTAGCTGCTGTGCTGAGTTGTCTTGATGGATTCAGAAGCAAACCTTCCCCTTCAGTGGATGGCAGCAAACTCAGGCAGTACCTATAGCTTTTGGAGTAGATCTATCAACTGATTTTGTTTAGTTCCCCATCTCTGGCAAGAAAGTTCCACTTCTTGGCAGGCTCTGCATTTCTATATTTGATAACAGGCCTATAATGTAGTGTAAAGGAAAATAGCTATAGTTACACGTAGTTGCGATCAGTAGAAAAACATTATGCTCATTTATTTAAAACATTAGCATGCATGATTTTCCAAGTTAAATGCTTTCTTGTGTGTCAAGACCAAAACAAATAAGCAAAACCGAACCGTACCAAAACAAACATTGAAAAAAACCCCCCAAACCAAAAACCCTTAGTCCTCCCCTTTCTTGGTTTCTCCCTAGATGCCAACGGCAGTTGCAGCTGTAGACATTATCAGGTCCTTCAGGAGAGGTATAACTCCATGCTTTCCAGGGACTGCTCACAGTACAGTCTGCCATAGCCAATTGATTTAGGGTCACCCCAGAGGTAAGGGCAGTTTTATACATAGCTATTTTGAATCTGAGTAGGTCAGGGAGATGTTCTTATTTTCAGTGTAATTATCTGACCCTGAACATGTGATCTTCTACTTTTGTTGGTGCTGTTCTAGACAGAATACCAAGGTCAATAGATGATGGACTGAGTGTTTCAAAAGCCCATTTTTAAAGGCTAAGCCTTAATGGTGGAGATTTGACTAACAAAGAACAACAACTAATTAAAAAGAAATTGGGACTAGGCCTGGATTTAGGTAAAATTACGAAGAACCTTACAAGATATTTTTCCCAACATGGTGCCTCCTTTACTTGTTACTTTTAGGGCTTGATACCTTTATTTTTTTATCTTTTCAAAGTCTGTTTGCAAGAAAGGATGTGATAAATTAATTTATGCTAAGATATAAATAGTTGAACAAGTGCTATCCCTTTGAGGGAAGTGGGTATTTAATTTTTTCCATTTCATATTTATCTCATTAGCAAGTAAATACAGAACATTGTTTTTAAGATTTTATTTTTAAATAGTCTCTACACCCAACATGGGGTTCCATCTTACAACCCCAAGATCAAGCATTACCTGCTCTACCAACTGAGCCAGCCAGGTGCCCAAATACAGAACATTCTGTAATGGTCAGTTACATGCGGGTATCCACAGTTTTTTCACCAAATATAGAATGCCAATCTTTTCTGCTCAATATTAATTTTCCTCAGGCAAAATAACCAAGCATAGCACAATTTCAGGAGATGGTGATACCATGAGCATGATCCATCCAAATTACAAAAATGTCAGTATTTAAAATTATGCAAATTCGTTGACCACTTTTTAAATCTTCCTTTTTACACTTCTACTCCTCAGAAAATGTGTGATAAAATTAAGCTACAGAATCCACTTTGGAAAAGCAGGGAGTTATTTTTCTAGTTTTGGTTTTAAGATTTGTTTTTAATCTGTTAAAAAATATAGTGGGAGTGTGTTGAGAGAGGTGAAGAAAAAGGAGGTTCCTGTTGATGGATTCAACATGTCTGAAAATACTTAGGTAATATAAAGAAAAAGTTCAAGAGGGAGAATATATTATACCTGAGTCTTTCAGCAACACGAAGAGATGAGCAATTCTTGTATCAATTGCTCCCACAGGAAGGAGGTCTTCCTGAAGAATACTTATTTATAGAATCCTCAGTAAGATAGAGTTGTCTACTTCTAAAGATTCATCTTTCACTAACATAATACTTTTCTAAAAGCTTATCCACTCTATTATTTAGATATCCAATTTTCAGAATGTGCTCCACATTGGCTATTTGATCTGCCATTCTCAAGTCTCCTTGAGAGTGTCTCAGCAGAATTATGTTTTTATGTCTTTTAATTGAAATATTTTGTGTTCTTTATACTACCATTCTGTTTGTTAAATACATTAGTTAATTTTCCTTTAAATCTTTTGAGACTCCATTTTCATCAAAATCCATGAATAAACACTATTTTGACATTTGGATGATAAACACCAGCTTGATGGATAACCTTCTTGAGTACATCACCATTATCAGCTGAAAATAAAAACACAAGGATGCTGTGTTGCTGGAGTTTCTCAAATAAATTTTTATATCCTTCCTGGAGCATAACACTGGATTCTTCAATTTATTTAAATTTATCATTGGATGAAGCTTATTCAATAACGAAACTATGTCTTTCTACCATAAAGGGATATTTCATCCTACGGAAGAAACAGAATCAATTTTGACAACATGCAAAAACTTTCTTGACATTCTTTTGTAACCATTTTACAGTGGGCAATACTATTATGACATGTTGGGCATCCCTTTATAGGAAAATGTACTTAGTGTCATATCAAAATCCATGGTTATCTGAAGTTTGATAGCTCTTTTTTTGATCAAACTACAGATAATTTCTGTTACTTTTATAGGGCAAACTGATGCAAGCTGAACTTTTCTGGAATTTGGACATCACTTTTACATGTAAATTTACTGAGACTTGTCTCAGTTATCCAATCTTTCTTAAGACATTCTGAGTTCTTCTGTTCTTGGTTTTGTCCTGGAACAATGGCATGGGTGGCAAGCAATATTCAGAGATGCAGGACTTGGGTACAGGAATCTCAATGATCTTGGTTTTCTGCCCCATCCTCCTCTTCAGGGTGAATATGTACTGGGCCAGCACCACCCCTTACACCAGGATGCACATGCTGACACCAGCTACCCTATTTGTTCTTGCCATGACCACCTCATCTATAGATGGGACCCTCATGCTCTTCCTGACCATGGAAAAAAGATGACACTCATGATCTTTGGAAATGCAGGGCTTGTGTGCTAGCTGTGGAGAGACTCACGAAACCCCCAGAATTTGGTGTTTTAACAGACAATAGAAAATAAAATTGGAGAAAGAAATCTTGAATTTGTGGTAGACCTAATCAGGAACCAGGTAACAGAACTGGAGAACAGTGTTTTAGAGGAGAGGAAAGTAGAATGAGAAGTGATCTGAGACATATAAGATTTTAGAATTTGAGGGCAAGAGTGGTGAGTTTAGAGACTCAGCATCGCAGCCAACAGGGAGCAGCAGGGCTTCAGGGATTATTCTATAGCCTGAAAGAAGAGCAGGGCCCAACATTGCTGTAGGTTCTGGCATTGCTATGTCCCTGTAATTGACTCTCAACCCCTCAACTCCAGCCTCTCCATCCTCTCTGCCTATGAAAAGTAGAAGGCGTTGCTATGAAATTATTAGGCACAGCTACCAAGGGCCTGAGAAGAACCAACCAGGACCAGGGACAGGGTAAACAATGGAATTGCAAGATTTACAAAGAAGAGTACATAAATTTTGAAGAATAAGGAATGTATGGTCAAAGAACAAAATAAAGACTCTATGTGAGGTCTTTAAGATGTACTCTGAGGCCCAGGTGTGTATGTGTGTGTGTGCGTGCGTGTGTGTGTGTGCACAAGTGTGCACATATGCATGGGCACATGTGGCGAGGTAATGATAAGCTTGTTGATTTTGGTAATGGGGCAAATTGGAGGCAAAAGAGCCTATGGAGACGCATATCATTTTTCTGCTTGTCTAACTTAGCCAGAGTGACTGATTTCAATGTGGCTTTAGGCTCCACTGGACCAGATGGATGGCAGGGAAAAACAGAAAGAAAAAAATAATTAAGCTTCACTTTTCTGTTCTATGGCCTGATCACCTGAGTGTCAGGATGAAAATATCCCAGGGTGTTATTAACCTTATATACTTGGGTTATTTAGATGGTCAGATTTGATCTCCCCATTTCATAGGTGGTTAAAGTAAAATATGCATTTCTGTTCTAGGCTGTTGGAAACTTGGAAGCTGAACTAGGATTAGATGCTAATATTCTAAAGTTGATAAAATGATAACAAAAGAATATATTAAAACACATACTTATAAATTTAGTGTAAATGCAATGCACCCAGAATCTTCTAGTGACATCCAAATATATGTAAGCTACACAAAATGCATGTATAAGCAAATATCCCATTAGAATGTGCTCACAAATAGCAAGAGCTGTAGAAACACTGCTAGTGGGTTTATTTCACCAGAAATCCATCCATTATCATTCTTTTTCTGCCCATGAACATTTCATAAATCTATTGAAATAAACATACTGGAAGGAAAAAAAATCCCATTACCAATGCCTGTCACAAATCTTGCCAAATGCATCATCTAATATTGGATGTCACAATACAGTCCAATCCAACGAGTAGAAACATGTTTCACAAACAGTTTGGGAGTGAGCAATCAATATTAACTTGTTGGATCCTAATGTGTTTTTGTGAATGATTATAAATAGAGCAACTTCCTGCAGGGAATTTTTTTCTCTAAGCTTATGGATAAAAAATGGCAACTAGCAAACAACATATTCTTATTTGCATAAGTAAGAATGTGAGTTTTCACAGCGAGGAAAATTTTGTTTGTTGGGTGTTAGAGTCCCTTCCTAGATTTCACAATTTCTAAGGCTATTTCGTGGTAAGAATGATAAAAGAGATGTCTGAGGATAAATGAAGTTTTCAAGTGGGGTAGGACAGAAGATACAAGGAATTGCAGTAGTTCATTTCATTATGAAATCTACTAAAATGACCAAGAATATACTTGTGTAAATTATAAAGCACTTTCATGCAAGACCTTTCAGTTTTCCAATTTCTGGGGCGGAAAATATTTTGGGTGGCCTCTGTGCTTCATAATGATATGATGCATGGAATGAACAGGATTTCTTTTTTATTCTGGGCACACATAATATTGTAATAACAATTTAAATAAAGCAAACAAAAAGTTCAAAAATTCCATTTATGCAGATCATTTCTTTTCACTGTGTATGTTTGTGTGTGTTTGCTTCCTTGTCCTTGTCCATATGTACACATATTCTTTCAATTGTTCAAGAAATATTTGCTGAGCACCTCTTGTATGCCTGCCACTGCTACAGACATTATGATTACTACAGTGAGCAAGACAGGAAAAGTTTTACATCCCTGTTTTTGTGTATCTTACATCTCAGCATAATTTCAACAAAAAAATCAAATAAATCAAATAAAGAAAATCATCAGACACCAAGTATTATGCTGAGATTGAAAATATGGGATAATTTATATACAATCATGGCATAAATTTAAATTGCAATTCAGGGATGCCTGGGTGGCTCAGTTGGTTAAGCGTCTGCCTTCTGCTCGGGTCATGATCCCAGGGCCCTGGGATGGAGCCCCATGTCAGGCTCCCCGCTCATCAGGAAGTCTGCTTGTCCCTCTCCCCCTTGCTCATGTTCTCTCTCTCACTATCTCTCTTTCTCTCTCAAATAAATAAATAAAATCTTTTAAAAAATAAACTGGAGTTCAACTTTATCCTATACTATTGTCTAATAATCTTTTATTTTTTATTTTTTTAAAAGATTTTATTTATTCATTTATTTGAGATAGAGAGAGAGAGGTGGGAGGAGCAGAGGGAAAGGGATAAGCAGACTCCACACTGGTCATGGAGCCCAACACAGGGCTGGATCTCACAACCCTGAGATTATGACCTGAGCCGAAATCAAGAGTTGGAAGCTTAACTGATTGAGCCACCCAGTCGCCCCTCCAAAAATCTTTTATCACCATTGCTACATAATTTCCCTCTATAACCAACAAGTATTGATTCATTTATCCATTCAACAATATTTGTTGAGCACCAACTATATGCCAGGCATTTCCTTAGGTACTGGGGATAAAGGTAAGCAACAACAACAAAAAAAGATATGGAACTTAACTTGTATTATACCATCGAGAATAAAGGATGACAAACTAGGTAGGTAAAGGAGAGTTTCAGTATAGTTCATTACAAACTCAATTTTATGTTAACACCATATAGGATAAATGTTAGTCTGTTAAGTATGGACTTTTATCCCCAGTCTAACTACTATTTTTATTTTCAATTTATAACTGAGGGCTGAAAATTGTCTATACAATAAGATGTACTGGCTAGCTTAGTACATTATGTCTATTGCTTGGATTGGCTTCATAATATTGCATTGAGTTATTATCTAATCCTATTTTACATTCTCTTATTATTGGATATATTTTTCTTTAACACTCTCTCACCCCCACTCTTATACACAGATTGTTGGACTACTGTAAGTAACCTTATGTCTTCTTCCTGGCTCATCCCTTGTATGCCCATTCCAAAGCAAATGCTGTTCTGAATGTTGTGTCTATTACTCACTTACTTATATAGTTTTTAAGTTTTTATCACGTTATACCTAAGCCATATGGTGTTTGGTTGTACTTGCTTTAATAATTTATATAAAAATCTCATTCCAGAGGTGCCTGTGTGGCTCAGTCAGTTGGGGGTCTGGCTCAGGTTGCAAACTCAGGGCCATGAGCTCGAGGCCCATGTTGGGTTCCTCTCTCAGTGCAGAGACTGCTTGAGATTCTCTCTCCTTCTCCCTCTGCCCCTTCCCCCCCCAACTTGTGCTCTCTTTCTAAATAAATAAAATCTTAAAAAATATATATATATATCATTCCATATATTGTTACCTAGCATTTACTTTTCTGACTCAGCACAATATTATTAAGATCCATTCATGCTGTTATGTGGCTGTCATTCACTCATTTTTCATTTTTCTGTAATATTTTATATGACTACGCAACTATTTATTTATCTATTCTCTTGGCTATGACGATTTAGGTTATTTAGTTTTTGCTGTTATGAATAGTGTTTTCCCCTGACATTTGTGTGCACATCTCCTGGTTACATGTACTAGCATGTGTGTAGAGGGGTGGAGTATATATCTAGGAGTGGAATTGTTGGGCTGTAGGATATGAAATTGTTTGGCATTAAAACACCATGTCAAAATGGTGGAAAGTGATGGTACCAACTTGTACTTTCAGCAACATATAAAAAATTATATTGATCTATATCCTATCTAACACTCGGTAATTCCAGACTTGTTAATTTTTGTCGATTGATGATATGTGAAATGGTTATCTGATTCTTGTCTTCGTTTGCATTTCCTGATTGCCAGGGAGGCTAAGCATCTCTTTGGATGTTTTCTAGCCACCGCATTACATCTTTTGTGATATGCCTCTCTGCTCATTTTCTAATGTTTTTGTATTTTTAAAAATTGATTTCTAGCCATTCTTTATATACTTGATATAAAGTTTTAATTCCTTGTCAATTATATATTCCTGATCATTTTTCAATTACATATGTTGCAAATATCTTCTCCTACACTATAGCTTGCCTTTTTTTTTTTTTTTTTTTACTTCTGCTAAGGTGTCTTTTGATAGAATTTTCTTAACTTTATGGTATTCTAATGTTTCCATCATTTTTTATGGTTAGTGCTTTACGTCTTTTCTTTAAGCCCTCCCTTACCCCAAAGCCAGAAAGAAATTCACCTTTATTTTATTACATGCTTTAACATTTTGCTTTTGACATAAAGATCGCATACTCTATGGAGGCTATTTTTATGTAATGTGCATGACAGGCATACATTTTAATACCTTTTTTTCTTATAAATAGTCAAGGTTTGCAGATCCCTTTGCTGATTGCCTTCTCTTTTCACAGGAATCTGCCATGCTGCCTCTGGCATCTCTAGGTTATGCTTATTTGTGGATCTCTGGGTGTGCTCTCTCTTCTGAGCCTCCCTTTTTCATCTCTCGTATTTGGGCACTGAATTCAAGGTGTCTGTTACATTATTAACATATTTGTTAAAAGACACATGTTAAAATAAATTATAGAGGGTCATACACAAACGGTCAAAGTGTGTCATGAATTAAGGATTATGATTAATCCAGATCTGTGAACCTGAGGTCCATAAAGGAGGTAAAATAAATAACTAATGTGACAAAGAGCAACATTATACATGTTCCCTTTGCTCTTTATTTCCTGAGGACACATTCCCAACAGTGAGATGACTGAGCCAGCAGGTATAAAAGACTTCTAGAAGCTCTAAATGTACAACTTAAATGCTAGCATTTACTCTTTGTGGCCAAGGGCCTAGCAGTTAAACCCAGAGTTCTGCACCAGTGGCATCCGGGGTCTTTGCCACAGCCACATCCCCTGCCACTTCCCTACCGCGCAGATCTCCGTCTTGTACCACTAAGAGGCAGTATATTTCTTCTTCAGATGCTGTGGCTTCCTGCTGAAGCAGCATCAGCACACACTGCTGCTAGGTGGCCAGAGGCAATGGCCAAACCATTTCTGTGCCTCGCACTGGGCTCCCTCTTCTCACTGCTTTTAGTGATACGTGTGTTCTGGCTGGTTCACTCCTCCGATATCCTCACAGTTTGCTCTTTCTTCTCCCTGGGTTAGATCTTTACTCAGATGTCACCTTGCTCAGGAAGGCTTTGCAAAACCAGCCTACTTAAAATGGCAGCCCACTCTCCCACCTGATCCTCAATGTCCCCCTCCAGTGCTTGCTTTGTTCTCTATCGCTCATCACCATTTGCCTGTCTCTCTTCCCCCAGAATTTGGAATTTAGATCCGTTTTGTTCACAGATGTATCCCCAGCAACTACAACAATGCTTTAAACACAGTAGATGTTTTGTAAGTATTTGTTAATATGATTATGAGCAGAGCATGTCATAGTTGCTCATTATACGTGTTGGATGAATTAATGAGGCCCAGAAGACCCCAAGGGACTCACAGTTACACTTACAGTTTTTGGTATCTTGCCCGCTGGGGGTCCAGGAATAGTTGAAGCCTTGGGTAGTCACACTGGAATTGCTGGCTGGAAGACAAAATTCTCAGAATCCAACCTTCTTACACAGCTGTAATTTCACTTTGCTTTGATGTGCTGAATTCTTAATCTATGTGACTTTGGGGAAATCTGAAATTGAAAATGTGCTTTCCTATACAGGGACATAGCTGGCATATTAAGCAAAAGCTCTGTAGTTTATGTTTAATGACAACTTGTCACTGATTTTCTTTCTTTTCTATTCTTGTTGCCAACTCAGATCACTGGGAGTACTGTCAAGACTACCTTCATGTTATCTTAAAATTCCACGAGAAATGAAAAGTATAGTATAATAATTCACCAACCCATATTTTAAAGATTACAGGGATTGTCATATGAACGTATAGCCATCATTTGCATTACAATTTGCCACAGAGCAGCTTGAAACCAAAATATCAACATCAAATGAAAAACATAGCCTTTTGCCCGAACCTCAACATCGTCAGAGCTGTACTAAAACTTGTGTTTTGTCTCTTTTCTGGCACATAAGGAAAGCCCTGCTATACTCACTTTGAGGGGTGGTATTTGGAGTCGAGGTACCCACTTCTCCGACGGCTGTGGAAGATATAATATTTTGAAAACAAAATTCCCAAATTATTGTAGGCGTTTACATTCCCATGTTTAATATGCTGCTGTAACTAACAAGGGTGGCAGGCAGAGCAGGAATATTAAAGAAGGAAAGAACCTTAGTGAATACGTAGTCTAATGATTTCCGTTTTATCATCTGTGAAACTGAGTCCAAAAGGCATATGCTTGTGGCTACATAACCAATATTCAATATCATTTGTATGACATTAATCCAGTTCTCCTATCTCCAAGTGTATTACATTCACACTTTCAAAATATGTTGTTTTAGTGTCTACTGTGTGCCAGACTCCAGTCTACACACAACAATGAAGACAAGGTTCTTGCCCTCATGGAACTTACCTTGTAGTGAGTTTTCACAATTGTACACAACATTTGCATATGTGCAATATGGTTGCTTATCTACTTCAGTTCTTAGCTTTTCAAAATCATCCTCATCTTTATAACCCATCATTTCCCATTCTTCTCCTCTCTCTCTTGCTCCCAAAATGAAAGACGTATTCATATTCATTTGAAAATATCTCTAGGGTTGAAGCAATACCCAATACACTCCATTGAAAACATGGTCATATCTCTGGGAAAACAAATATATTTAAGGTCGATTCCATAAATACTCAATTCAAGAAGATAACAGAAGTAGATAGGGAAACTCAAGGCAAGGAAAATATAGTTAGAAAAAGTATGTTGATCCTTGTCGAAACCTGGGTGGGGATAGTACACAAAATGCATTTCTTGATGTCGTGTACTCTTAATAGATATGGGTCCAAAATTTAGTCAGAACTTTCTAGTAACGATGCTAAGAAATAAAGAATATATGTTATGCCATTAATGGCAATCATAGGATAAAACCAGTCCATTTTCAAGAGAAACACAGCTACTCTTTTCATTGTGATTAAAAAAAAATTTCTCCCCAGTCTTTTTTTTTAATCTTTTTTAAAGATTCCATTTAATTATTCATTTGAGAGAGAGACGAGAGAACGAGGAGGGGCAGGGGGCAGAGGGAGAGGGAGAAGCAGGCTCCCCACTGAGCAGGAAGCCCAAGGCAGGACTCTATCCCAGGACCCTGGGATCATGACCTGAGCCGAAGGCAGATGCTTAACTGACTGAGCCACCCAGGCACCCCCTCTGCAGCCTTTTAAAAAAGAATACTGTATACTCTGTCTAATATTCTTAACAATATCCTTATAGTATGACAGTCAGTATACTCATTCTCTTGTAGGCTTGAGTTAGTAATGAATGGCATCCCACCTTCCCAGGTACCTCGGTTCTGGAAAATGACATGCTTAAATTAAAAAAACACGGATAATCAAATCTCTGAAAAAAATATATGTAGGATACATAAATAAATTGGCATCATGGTTTATGCCAATCATCTATAAGAGATTTACAGAAATGATTAACATCAATCATTTTGCAATGCAGGCTGCTAATGGACACCAAAGACACCTTCTACCTGAGCTCCAGGAATACAGTCAGACATGGGGAGATGCATTAGAGGCTGCCTCATATGGTGCTATATGAGGAACTAAAACGGGCAACCAGCAACAGGATGGCAGATAAAATGTTTTAAATACTGAATATGCACAGCTTCATTTATCCAACAAATACTTATTGAGTGCTCAGTGTGTACGAGAATTGGGGATGAAGTGAAGAGAGAAATATTGCTCTTGCCCCCACAATTTAGTGAGAATATAGGTCAGTGCGTTAGACTATCAGCTGGTCACCAAACCCATTCTTCTCTCTGGTACAGATGAATTATATCTTTTAGCCTCCTGTGTGGTTGGTTAGGTGTGGCCGTGTACTAAGTCTTAGCCAAAGGAACATGAGTGGGAGTGATGGTTGTCATTTCAAGACCTGATGTGTAAAACCTTCCATGTAAGATCCTCCATGATCTTCCCTCATGTGCTATCAGATATATGATGCAGGGGGGATTTAGAAGTCACAACTTAAAGATGACAGACCCACTAGAAGCCCAGGTTCTTGAATGACTATGTGGAACAGAATACCCAGCCACGGATCACAGCGTGAATTTGAATTTTATTTCTCTCATTGAGATGGCTTTATTTTTGTCCTTATCTGCAGCAATTCCTTCAGTAACCTATTTTATTTTATTTATTTATTTTTCAAGTTCTATTTAAATTCTAGTTTGTTAACATATAGTATAATATTGGTTTCAGGAGTAGAATTTATAGTGATTCATCACTTACACACAACACCCAGTGCTCATCACAAGTGCCCCTCTTAATGCCCATCACCCATTTAGCCCATCCACTGCCCACCTCCCTCCAGCAACCCTCAGTTTGTTCTCTATAGTTAAGAGTCTCTTATGGTTTGTTTCCCTCTCTTTTTTTCCCTTTCCATATATTCATCTGTTTTGTTTCTTAAATTCCACATATGTGTGAAAGCATATGGTATTGTCTTTCTCTGACTTATTTCACTTGGCACAATACACTCTAGCTCCATCCATATCGTTGCAAAGTCCACTCTCACCACTGCTATTTAACATAGTATTGGAAGACTTAGCCTCAACAATCAGACAACAAAAAGAAATACAAAGCATCCAAATTGGCAAGGAAGAAGTCAAACTTGCACTATGTGCAGACATGATACTCTATGTAAAAAACCCAAAAGACTCCACCAAAAAATTGCTAGAACTAATACATGAATTTGGCAAAGTTGCAGGATATAAAATCAACCATACAGAAATCTGTTGCGTTTCTCTATGCCAGTAACAAAGCAGCAGTAACCTATTTTAAAATTTTTGTATTGTTACATATTTTTAAAGTTACCTTATATCCTTTTAAAAATAAGGCAAGATAAAAATGCATAGAGGGATAGAATGACTAGTCATAAGTAATCTTTGGATATTAAGAGATACTGAGAGATATGATGTGTTTCTCCTAATTAATAGAGTAAGAAAAGGTGAGAGAGGAAGGGAGAAGGGAGGGGAAAGAGAAGAAAAACTCTTTCCAGGTTTTAAAAGATTCTCAGAAGGATGAAAAGAATGATTCCTTTACCCTGGAATTCCTTACATAGGAGAGAGTGAAGCTTTCATTGTTAGTCAACAGTCTCACCTCCCATGGAGGAGCTTCCTTCTTTCCTTCCTTCCTTCCTTCCTTCCTTCCTTCCTTCCTTCCTTCCTTCCTCCCTCCCTCCCTCCCTCCCTCCCCTCCATTCTGAAAACTGACCTCCATAGAATTCACTGAACAATTTAGTAAGTGAAAGCAGAAAGGAATGGTTTTAAAGTAGTGATGTGATAATAATGGTGAGAATAGTGATACAGAAAAAGAGCTAAGAGGTAATCATCAGAGAACTTTGTATTTATTTGTAGGCAATATTACCATTACCTAGAAATCTCAGTCTAATAAGCAACTGCCAGTCACCTTTTAAAATACCTCTTACTTAACAAGCAATGGACATGGCTTCTAGCCAGTCCAGTTGCCCACACTGACCATTAGCTCCATGTGATTTAATTCTGTTAGGAATCAGTGGAATCCTGATGAAGTATGATAACTTAACTGAGAATTTCATTTGTATCAAAATGACTGATTAAATTTCTTTTCTGGAGAATCGGAATGTGAGGTGACATAAATCCTTGCTTACTGCAACTTTACTGCAGGGAAAGGAGAATGCATTCATTCGATTCCACCTAACGTGTTGTTCCTGGACCACACGGGAGGAGAAACAGTGATGGCCCCAGCCTCACACACTGCCGTGATCTTTGTGTTGCTGTGCCTCTTGCCTGGCATAGATATCAGTGCTGCTCTGTGCTTCCTCTCACGGGCCTGTAGACTATATTGAGGGCTGAATGTGTGCCAATAAGCTTCTGGAAACAAAAAGATCAATGACACCCATCAATATCCCCAGGGAACTCAAGCTCAATTCAGTCTTCTCCGTCTCCTGCTGAACTTTGTTTTGGTCTTGGCCCGAGGGTCTGTACCAGGTTGCACAGGTTATTGAAAAAATGATCCCTTTACTGTGAGGCCTTGTTCCTCACGTGCAAGTCAGCGCTAAAGCCATTTAGAAAACTACTTCTTTAGGTTAATTAAATGCCACCCACTCATCTTGGCTTTACACTATGCTTCAAGGTTAAGGTTTCTTGGCATTACATGACCTGACCTCCAACAATCTCCACATTGTTATCTCTTGCTACTCCCTTCCTATGTTCTTTCATTTATTGACCCAGCATTTGGGAGCCTCTATCTTCCAGGCATTGCGTTTAGCAACGAGGGCACAATGATCACCTCCCTTGGAATTGGAATTCATAGAGGATATGGACATCAACCAGAGATTCACAGAAACCAATCCAAATATGAGAACACATGAAAGAGGGAATGGCTTATTTAGAGTCCCAGGAAGGCTTCCCTGGGGAATGGGGTGGGGAAGTGGGGGCAGGGGAGGGGAGGTGG